CTCCAAAGTGTTCATTTTACTCGTATTCCCTCGATTATCAGTTGCAGTGGACGGAACAAAGCGCGACTCCCACCAGCGTACAACTCCGTAGAATGCGTGGGCCACGAGAAATGATGAAACCTCCTGCACGTACATAGAAGCCCTTCCAGGGTTGGAACCAGTCAACCACCCAGCGATACGTCGACGTATGCTAATATTAACATCTGAAAAGCCAAGCAACTGAATCACAGCCGCCACCAACCAAGAACGTTCTTCAAACGTAAATGTTGTTTCAACATCCAGCGGAAATGCGCTGATTAGAATATCCAGCATGAGCCGATGTTTCCTCTCGCTCTGCTCCTGTAGCGTAGCAAAAATGGCGCTGTGAACAATACGAGGATCACTACCAAGAACAATGGAGAACGGTGTGGGTGCGGCCAGAAGGCAGATGTTTTTTTTTTCCTTCTCCAAACCCTCACTCTCCGCCAGAACAGATCCATGGCCGACGCTGTGGGCCTGTGAGACACCCCCACACAACCGCATCTTCAAGTACAGTAAGACACAAGCGCGCAACGAAGGGCAATTCTTCAGCGTCAGCCACAACGCCGAGTAAAGAATCACCTCGCCGCCCCCTTCTGAACTATTCCCTAGCAGTATTTCCTTCTCGTGGTGGTTATCGTCCACCTCCTCAATTGGATTTGAGTTCGCAGATATCATTGTTTCTGCGTTCCTCAAGATTGTGTGAAGGGCTTCCATTATTTTAAGTGTCGAACGGTAGACTTCTGTTGTGTCTTTTTCCTCCAGGCCGCCCAGTATTGCTGAAAGAATCCCAGGCAGCTCCACAGCCACGACGCCAGGAGGAAGTGTGCGCAGCATGTGAACCTCCACAAAATGCAGCAACTCGCACTTTACCTGAATAGAGCACTGAGGCAAGAGCTCAAGCACGCCAACTAGCAACAGCGGCATCTGCCGGATGAGCTCGGAGGTCCCCACGCACAGGCACAAACGTTGCAAGACGTCAAGAGCTTTTCGATGCACTCCCATGACGCCCTTCGGATCAAAGCACTTCCAAATGACACGGCAGAGTAAGACAGGATCTGGCAGAACTTCGGTGGTCGCCTCAATGTTGCTTTCGATGCACTTGAGAAGCTGCGTCAGCATTGTCGAGAGGGACGCCCAGTTCGATGAGGGCGTTCGGTCCATGATCAACAGGAGCTTCACCATTTCCGCAGAATACCGTGTGGCCCGCTTCGAGAGTTGCGGGACCACCTCCACATCACCCAACTGTGTGTTCATGCACTCCACTAAGAATCGTTCAGACAACAAACCGAAGACCATGCAATGAAAAAAAAAGACGAAAAAGAAAAAGAAAAAAAGTCACCATCAAACACCAAGAAACAGCTGCCAAATTGAGGGGCAAAAAGCAAGAAAGAGGCTCATGGAGCAGGTGGATAACTTACGTGTAATGCACTTACCGTAAACAGAAATTCAAAGGATTGGACTTCTCAGCAGCGCTCAGGCACCCCTCCTCCCCCCCTTCCCCCGTCTCAGACGTATCGGCAGGGAGAGGGGAAAAAAGGGGGAAAAGGTGCGGGGTGTCGGCACCCAAAAAGCAGCACCCATCAAAAAAAGAAAAAAAAAAAAACTGAAGTTGCAGGAAGCAGAAAAAATAGCACCGCCCTCCACAACGTCACTAATAATGTTTTTTTGTTTTTGTTTTTGGTTTTTGGTTTTTGGGATAATAAAAAAAAAGTGGGGTGCAAAGAGCATCCATCCAATTGTTTTAAAGATGTCATTTTTTTTTCCCGTCATCTCTTTTCTTTATTTAATCCTTTTGTTTTGTTGTTGTTGTTTTTGTTTTTTTCGGTTTATTTTTCTTGCTACCACCACTACTACTACTCATGTCGTTATTATTGTCATCGTTATCAGTTGATGTCATGTCACGTCATTTTGCGTCCAAGCATCTCACAGCAGCAAACTTCACCTTCTCGTTTCTGTCTCCTGTTCCCACCACGGGGAAGGCAGCACCCCTCCTCCGCGTCCCTCTTATCCTTTTGTTGTTGTTGTTGTTGTTGTTTTTCTTTTGGTTTTTTTCCTTCCCCCCTTGCTGACTCGGGATTGGATGCGCACTTCCCTCGTCTCTTTCTCTCTCTCTCTCTCTCTCTCTCTCTGTGTGTGTGGGGGGGTGTAAAGAGGAGAGAGAGAGACGAGGGGGGAGGCTCACTTCGTGCCAATACGCACGGCTTCCCAGTTTTTGTTTTTTTTATTATTTCCCCACCCCGCCATGCATCCACGACGTGAGACGCGGCATTCGAGTCCTCCAACGTCCTCTCGCTGCCACGTCTTCGTGCCCGTAAACAGTGCTGAGCCAATCATAATCAACGCAAGGAATATAAAAATAAAATTATGGAATAAAAAAAAAAAAAAAAAGAAATTAAAAAAGACATAAAAAATAAAATAAAAGTCTCATTCCGCCTTTAATAAAATAACAGGATGATTTTTGCAAGTCATCTTCTTCGGTAAAAATTGCTGTTTTTTTTTTTTTTTTTATTTTTTTTTTACTTTTTTCCTCCCCGTCCTCCTTCACCGTCCTTTTTTGTTTTTCTTTTTTCTCTGCACGTCTTATTTTCCGTTTTTTTTTTTTTTTCTTCTTCCATTTTCTCTTTCCCCCCACACATACACACACTTATGGCGCTGGTCTCCTTCCCCTGCCGTCTGCATTCAATTCATTTGCCCCGATCTTTTTAATGGTTCAAATTGCTGTAAAAGTCGTCCGAGAACTTGAGCGACCGTGCCTTCGTCCAGTACAAATACGTCATTCCAAAGAGACCCAATAATGTTAGCACAAAAAGCACCGTGATGAATCCCATAGCCCTGCTGGAGCCCTCATTCGCCCCTTCGCACGGCGGCGATGTGCTGTTCGTTGCTGAGTTGTTGACCGGGGGCTCTGCCATGTTTGGCGTCGTAAACTCCCACGCGTCCGTCACTCCGTAGAAGTCATAGGCGTCAAAAGCGGTAAAATTCAGACGGTATATGTTATCCAAATTGCATTGTGCCGCATCCGCCCATTCAAAATGGCGGCGATAATGCATTAGATTCGCCTTGATGCAATTCGATGCGCTGTTAGCAACAGGTAAGTTGGATTGGTGTGGTAGACGACGAATTGTGGCACCGTAAATGATAGAAGCCTGTGCTGCCATACCCAACGAAAATAACGGGTCAATGTCAGAGGGAAGCAGAAGTAAAGGTACTCGCGTGCGAGCCACGGAAATTTTCGTGGCGTTGTACTTTGGAAACGCTTTGTACGTGTCATACAACTGTTGTAGCAGGAGGATGCTCGGCATCACCAGTCGTTCCATGGATGCCGCCTCCATGAGTTCCTTCGGCGGTGCTGGTGGGCGCGTCAGGATCATTTCGTTAAGCAGCCAATTGTACCGCTGAGCCACGAAAAGTGGACAGCGATTTCTCTCAGTTGACCTGACAAACTCACGCAGTTGAGTGAGTGCCTGTTGGTCCCTTGCCTCACAGCGCTGCAGGCGGTAAATAAATGACGGTATTAGTTGAAGCAACTTCCAATCACTTAACATCAGAGGGTTTTGCGGCTTTTTCAGCAGTGCGGCAACAATTGAGCGATACTCCGTGTACATTTCCTTTGCATCAGCACCCCAGTTAAGCAGCTTGTTACATTTCAGAGTATTCGCCTCTGCCGCCCTCATGACATTGACAAATCGGTTCCACAGCCCTTCAAGCGCACCAACACGCGAGACGCAAAGAAGTGTCTTATCCCCCTCGCAGAGCGCCAGTACTCGCTGCAAGACCGCGTCGTATCCATTGATACTCTTGAAGATATCAAAGTACTGTGGGTGTGTGAATCCTGCCATGACGACAGAAACGTTCTTCAGCTGATCTTCCATCCCCAACGCTCGCTGCACGACAACGCTCCCAAGCCCCTCCGCCACGATAACATTTAGTTTTCCCTTCCCAAGCTGTTTAATCACCCAAATGAGGTCCTTTGCCGTCTCCTCCGTTGAGTAATGCATCATGTTCAGGCCAGAGCGGCGAATCTCCTCCGCGCACTCGACGCTGGGCATACAATGGTTCTTCGTGTATTGGTCCGGTCTGCAGGTGATCTGCGGCTGGGCAAACTCGGAGCCGCGAAACGAGAAACGCACCACGTCAAAAGCTTCTCTGCGCAGATCACTGGCCCAGCTGTCATCAAAGTTTTCCCCCACGTACCACACGGTTGTGTTGGCCTTTTCAATATCGTCTTCATACACAAGAGCGTCAAGAAAGAGGTAAATATTATTTCCGTCTTCAGACCACGACTCCTTTGTCGTTACGTTGGCGCAGAAGTTGAAACCCGCATTGCAGCCATATCTGCTCCAGACGGGAGTGGGAGGATCGGCCGCGAGGGCGGCCAGTGAAGAGAAGCATGCCAGCAGGATAAAAATGTGGAGGAGGACGGAGACAAAAAAAGGAGTAAATTTCCGCATACTCTTTAGAGCCATGTTTGTATAGTTAGATTATGTTCTTCTTGTTTTTCTTCTACTTTTCTCTTTCCTTTCGTTTCTTGTGCCGAGAGAGTGGGAAAAGAAAAAGAAAAAAAGACAGAGCCGACACAAAGAGAGAAGGAGAACACATAAGGAAAAAGAGAAATAAGAAAAGGTGGGTGAGTGAAGAAGAATTACATGAGGCCCACAAAAAGTCATGAAAGGAGTGCCATAACAATAAGCCACGACCACGTCGGCGCATGAACACACACAGAGAAACTGAGAGAAAAAACAAAAGATGTATTTAAGATGTTCTCCCCGCATTTTTTCGTGTCACTCGCTTTTTTACGTCGGCATTGTTGTTGTTTTATCGATTGCAGTCTTTTTCTCCTTTTCGGTCCCTCTCTTTTCTCCCCCTCCAGCGTCTTCTTTGCTAAGTGTTACTTAAGAGACGAAGGGCGAATGCCTCTTCCTCCTTCTGAATATATTCTTTTTTGTTTTTTTTTTCCCTCCCTCCTCCCTTTCTTTCAATCATGTTGCCGCCCCCTTGACCGCTGATGCTGCTTTTGCCTTTGCAATCAGTGCGTCGCCCTGAGCCTTGAGCGCTTCCGCCTCGCGTGTTTTATTCGTGTCGCCGTAAAGGAGCAACAGGGTGGCAAGGCGAAAGTACAGCATGGCAAGAGACGACGGCTCCATCTCCTCCAAATTCTCATCGAGTTCGTCAAACCCCCCGGATCTGTGGTTGTGCTGACTTTCGGCCGCGTCCATGGCTTCGTCGTCTGTGTCCTGCTCCGTCGGGAGGCAGTCCCGCAGGCACTTCTCCGCCTGCTCCAGGAGACGGAGCCCCTCCTTCTTCGGGGCCCGCGACGCCATGATGAGAAAAACCCTCGACAGCAAGTTCAGCGTCTCCCGCTGCTGTCCTGGTATGGCCTTCACCAGCTCCTTGATTTTGGAGCAGTGACAACTCGTGTTGACGTTGTACAGGTTGATGAAGACGTTCTTGGCCAACTTGACGCGTTGCCAAAACAACAGGGCAGTGGGGCTCTTGAGGGCAAACTCGATAAGCGCCACACCGAGCTCGTGCATAGGCCGGGCGTACGTCACATACTCCTCGACGGAACATATGGTTCCCTCAAAGTCCTCACAGAGGTAGCTGTAGTAATAGAGGACATGCGACTCCACTATGGACTCGATGTGTCGGCTGAAAACAAAGATGTAATTCAGACACGCAGCGGCCAGTGATGTGCACCCCTCACTGATGGAATTCTCACTAACAGCACGAAAGACGGTGCATGCAAACTCAGCCAGTTCCTCATGTGTCACCTCTCTTGGGGAAGTACCCTCCTTCACAATAAAACGATAGCGAAGCCCCTCCTCCTGTGCCGATTTCAACGTGCAAAGGAAGAACTCAATGGGTTGTCCAAGGGAATTGTGAAAATCGACAAGAATGGAGTAGCACGCATCCTCCAAGCAGCGCCACCACGCTACCAGCTCCGTGCCCTTTTCCGTCTCCGTCAAAACTTTCCCTGAGCGCTGCGTATATGTACGACGAAGAATTGAGCATAGCAGACCGTGCTGACCACTCATATGTGCCATCTGACAATTTTTTGAACAGTACTCCACCGCCCCACACTCCGTGCACGTGTAACCCTGTGCGTAGACAGGGTCTAAGCACATTGTACACTGGGCCCCCACGTAAGGATCCAAAACAAACCGCAGACGATGTGGTAAAGTAAAAGGTTTCCCCTCGACGGTTACGGTTGCCTCGCCAATGTACCATCCGTACGCCTGGCTGCCTTCACAGCTAATGATCACGTCATTTAGTGTCCTCCCCTTGACACCCACGATTGCCCCATCAAGCTGATCGAAACAAACGTCAAAGCGGAAGGCCTCGCTATACTGCCAGTGGCAATGACAGCGCATCAACACGGTGGCATGCCTGTCCTTCACAGGTCGTGGCACACGGCCCAATCCAGGGATTGCAACGGGTTCCTCGCTACCGCCGCTAGTACCACACTCACTCTCCATCACGAATATTTTCCCCCGCGGCCGTACCGAAAGCACCTCATTTTCAACGGCAAAACGCAAAAGAATATGCCAGTCGCCAAACTCCGCGGAGTTTTGTGTAGAAGGCGACATGCTGCCTGACGTCGTGGCCTTTTCCTCACCCGCAGTGCATATGGGCGTGAAGTGTAGTGTAAATAATCCCGAATGCATACCGCTGCTGCTCATTGTCACTCCACTTAAAAAAAAAAAAAAAACGAACAAACACACACCCGTGACGTCGCGCGGATTGTGAAGAAAAAAAAAAAAATGGGCGAAACCGAGAAAACACCAAAGCGGGACACACGCAAACCGCCCTTCCCGAAATCCCCCTTTGATCCTCTTTTTTGCCTTCACCCCTCGGTTGTCTTTCTTGACTCGCGTCCTTCGTTCGTTAGTTCCTCCTCCCCCCTTCTTCGCTTTCCTCGAATCCAGGCACCCCGGGAAACAGCATGCCGCCAAGCAGAAAGAATGCCGCACATGAGAGAGAAAATGCAGGAGAGAAGGGACACTGGCGAAGAAAGCAAGCAAAAAAAGATTTAAAAGTAAAAATACAGAAATCCATGTAAACAACCGGCAAGCCCCTCGTCCACCCCATTTTTATGCCGCAAGAATAAAAGGAAGAGAAAAAAAAGACGGTCTGCGGAGATGCACCTTCAGCCTCACCCTCTCAGCACCGGCAGGAGGATCCCAGGCGTCTACCAACAACGGTCAAAGCCCAGAGCCTCCCGCAAAAAGATTGTCGCGTAGCTAGACGGCGGAAGGAAAAATTCAACCGTCGCATCAAATCCATTCTTTGCGTCCCCCTCGTCATTCCCCTCAAGAGTGAGGCGGCATCCCGTGGGCCGCACAACTGTCTGGCGCACTGCACCGGGAATCGGCACGCCAAGGACTTTCTTCTGCTCGAGCACGTCGGCCTCCTTGATGTCCAGCTCCGTCAATGTCTGCTCAAATACCTGACGCACAGGCTCTTCAATCGTCACCTGGTGGCCCAGTAAGGGGAGCACTTCTACCGCCCCCATGGCGGAACCCATACCATGCAGCTTAGAAAGCATAATGTTAAAAATAAGGCTTTGGGCCGCATTCACCCATAACGCACGAATATTGTATGGGACCGATAAAAGTGCGTCGTGGCACAATTGTTGCCAACGGGATGTACAATTAGCAACATCATCCATACAAAGCGGGTTTGATGGAGATGCATACTGCGTTCGATGCAGCCGTTGTAGTGCCTTTACAACGTACACAGCATCACGTGCGCCTGTTTGTACATAACGGACCTTCATGCGTTCAGGGAAAGAAGCGTAAATTCCCGGTACACAGCTCAGTATGCTTTGCACGGCCTCCGCCCACCTCCCGGCCATCAGGTGCACACCGACGTGATCCTTCGTGCTACTCACATGCTCACTAAACCGTTGTTGACCAAAATAATTTAAAAACCCATTTGATTCAATAAGCCGCACACGCTGGACAAGCTCGCAAAAGGCCATTCCCCGCACATCCACGAGACGCACGCTGAACCAGTTTCCATTAAGCTGGCCAATGCCAACAGGGGTAGCACATGGCTCCAAAAGCTGCAGGATTTCGGCGTAGCTTGAAGGATCGCCGGGCCATACCAGACGAACTGTTTCACCGTGCTGCACCTTTGATTTTGAATTCTGGGTCGATAGAGGCACGGAGCAGCGTTGGTACGTGACGGCACACTTGTCCTTGAGCCCAGCTGTACATACGGCGTTCTCGGAAACGTCAAACTGCCTCGACAAAAGGAGCCTCAGTTTCATCATGTCAAGGTCCCGCTTTCGAACAACGAGGTGCGTGAACAAACCTGACGAGGCGTCATCGACATCATCACGGGCGCGCTTCTCCCGGTGCCTCGTCGAAGAGACCTTAAGCGTCACCTGTCCATTTGCGACAAGACACACGAGACCCGGATAACGCCGGGATATCAACTCATGAAGTGCACGTCGCTTTTCTTTCGTCGTCTCCGGTGGGAGGTTGACTGCAATGCAAAACGTATCGCTGCGTGGCACCGAACCACTCCATGCCTCAACACTTTCCGCCGCAGATTCGCCTAAAAGGTGTGCAAGAAGAAGGTACCCGGTGTCATACATGGCGACCACGTGATGATCAACTGAATCAGAAGGACCGTGTGAGGATGACACACGCCGTGTTTCAGTGCGCAGGTGTGGAAAGGCACGTTTCAGTGCGTGATGCAGGCGCCGTCGCTCCCCCTTGTAGTTGAGCACCGCAACAAGGTACTCCCCCGCACCCCCATGCGAGTCCTTCTCAAAGGTACCCGAGGCATACTGAAGAATGGCGTCGCGTTTGCTGCCAAAAACTGCAAGTAATTTCTCTCGTGTGGCATCCGTAAAAATATCACTTCCGGTCAACGACGCGGTTAGCTCAGCGCCGTCGTTAATATCGCCATAATCCCCATCAACAGCAGCTGCGGCAGAGGTGGTCGCGTTATGTGGGTGGATTTCCGAAGAGAAAGGCGCGGCCGCAATGGAGAGCTGATAATCCTCCGCGTCGGTTCGAGCGCCTGTGGGATCGACCTCCACGACAATAAAGTCTTCGGGCCGCTCTTTGATCCGCGCGGTTGCTGACTTCTCCACCGGAAGAAAAAACTCCGTGATGCCGCAAGCCCGCAACATGTGGTCGCGCTAACATATTGGAATAAATAAGAAGAGGCACAAAGAGAAGGCGTAAAAAACTATGACGGCACATACATAAAAAAAAAAAAAAAAAAAAAAAAGCAGTCACACAAAAGGGAGCGCGGGGCCTCACGGTCACCTTTTTACATGTTTTTGTTGTTGTTTCGTAACTCCCCTCACGACCAAACTGCATTCCCGTCCTCCTGTGCACTGCATACAGAAACAGCGGATGGGGAAAAGACCACTAATAAAAAAAATATTTTGAGCAGATTTGAAACAAAAAGCGATAACTTCACTCCCTTTCCCCCCCCCCCCCCCTCACCGTCATCTCCTATGAGGGAAGAATAAGGACCCCTGGCAATGCTCGACTACCTCAACGTGGTTTGCCAAAGCCGCGCTGCCCTCTTTCTGTTGTTGGAAGCCAAAAGAAAGCAATATTTCCCTCATGGGATTGTAGTCGTTGACACAGGGCTGGCGGCGTCGACCAGCCGCGTATAAACTGAGGCACACGGTTGTAAGACCATGAGGCCTGGGGGACACGTGTTATTTTGTCATCACAGCAGGGGGAGAGGTGGCAACAAAGACAGCGCAGTGACAGAGCGAGAACGACCAAACAAGAAGCCGCCCACGCCCGTTGCCGCTACGTGACGAACAGGCGCTCAAACACAAGCGTGTCGTGTGCAAAAAAGAAAGAAAAAAAAACGTGAAGTGGAGAAAATTTCCAGACACTTCCGTTCATGTGTTTCCCCCGTTGCCCTCTTCTTTTCCGCACCCCCCCCATCCATCTCTCCCGACCCCGCCCGTCCCACAAACATTTGCACTTTTTGTTTGTTTGCTTTTTGGCCGTTAATGTCCACTTAATTCGACTCTAACTATTCCCACCCCACTGAGCGCCAACTCTTCCTTCCTCCCTTCTTCTAAAAGCCTTTCCTGTACAGTTGCTGCGCCTTCTCATGCGCGGCCTGCTTCGCAGCTTCCTCGGCCACCTGCAGCCGCTCATGCATTCGATCACCGACAAAATTTTTGCGCGAGATGACACCAATTACGCGGTGATTTTGGTCCACCACCGGCAACTGCCGCAGCCCCAAGTGGCGGAAGATGTGGTACGTCCGCGAGATGCACATCACATCCCGCACGTAGTAAGTGTTCAGATCCACGTACGGGGAGAGGTCCACGTAGCACTGCATCGTTGCCGTCGGCAAAAGTTCCACCGGTGGCAAAGACGGAAGACGTCGCCAAAAGATTCGCTCTCTCACTTCCGCCAGCTCCAAATAGGTCGCGTGTCCTTGTCTTTCAAGCCGTTGTCTCGAGGCCTCCGCGTTACCGTTGGCATTGACGGGAGTTGTAGAGGCATTCTTCCCACCGCCGTCATTTTCATCATCCACCGCCATCCGTCCCTCCTGCCGAAGTCCCCTGTTCTTCTTGTGAACATCGCTGTTTAAAGTGCGACTCTTTGATATTTTCTGAATTTCGCTGCCTTCTTCCCCCTCCACGTCGCGAAAGTAAATGAACCACAAAAGAAGCTCCAACTGTGAGCGGGAAATAACACCCTCATATGTGCCACTTGATGTCAACATGACAGGAAAGCTGTTGTGTGGAGTGGACTGAAGTATTTGTATTATGTGGGACATCTTTTCTATCATCTCGAACGTCACGGCAGGATAAGTCATGATGTCCTTTGCGCAAAACATGTCCAGCTTATGCACACCTGCCTGAATCTCAAGAAACGGCGCCGCCTTCACCTCCAGCAGGGAGTGATACAGTGAATGACAAAAGCAATCCGCCACGGCTCTGGCCAGAATAACACCAACCATAAGGCACGTGATGTGTGTCAGGTCGGAGGTCAATTCCATCATAATAACTATGAGAGAAAAGGAAAGACGTGAGATGCCTGAGAAGTAGGAAGCGGATCCTATCAACGCAATCACACCCGGATCTGCCCACACACTGTTGTTGAAAATGACGCCAATCAATCGTCCTCCAATGGCGCCAATAAAGAGCGACGGAATGACTGTTCCGCATGAGATAAACATGCCACCCGCGTAACTGGAACCTAGTGTGTAGAGCAAAAGGTGCAGTAGGCATGCGTACCATGGCGTCGCTGCTGCCGTATGACGGGAAAACAAGAGACGGATGCCATTGTACGGGCTGGTCAAGGCAAGTGTAGCGAGAGGGCTAAAGGTGTTCTCACGATCCGCACAAAAGGCTGTGAACAGTTCAATACGAAGTTCTTCCTTATGCTTCTTCACGTAATCCGGCACCTCAACGCAATCAAAGGCTAACGGAAGCGTATAACATGCCGTTGCATACACAAGAGCACATATACATGGCTCCAACACACGAAGTAGGGGGCTCGGGAACAGTCGTTTTGAACGCCATCGTGTAAACTTAACACTTGAGACCGTATATGATACGGCCAAAAGCCCAAGAACAATGGCTCCCACCATTGTTGAAACAAAAGTGAAAAGATTCATCGGCACACGATTTCCCTTCACAACGTCCACAATAAACATGGAAATTGCATGGGGGCGAAACTCGCCAGGTCCTATGGACACGGGTTGACGTACTGGGATCTGCCAACCAATTAAATAGGTATTTATGATCTGGATGACACACATGCATGACAGACATGACACAAACACAAAACACGCGAGTCGGACGGAAAAAAAGGTCGCCATTTCCTCCATCACAAACAGCATTCCACCAATGGGAGCAGAAAAGGCCGAAGTCATGCCACAAGCCGCACCTGCAGATATAAAATCGCGCATGTCACGTGGATTTTGAAATGTTGAAAGCAATGAGCCTGCACCGCATCTCAAAGTGCGGCTGCGTCCCGTTGGAAGCCCCGCAGCAATAAGGGAGCCTATGTGAATGAGTGGTCCCTCTGCTCCTACAGGGAGTCCAGAACTTACGGCAAGAATACAGGACAAACTCTTAGTGACAAGGTTTTGTATGTTAAATATACGCGGAAACATAATACCATTCAAATACGCCATAACCTCCGGTACGCCGCTTCCAGCTGCGCTCGGCACGATAGCACAACACAGTGAAGAAAGCATGGCGGCAAGGACGCTCCACAAGATGTACACTAAATATCCTCTGCCCACGTCCTTCCAATGCATTCCGGCAGGTGTCAGTCCAATGGACTGCGTGCTATTGCCCAACGTCTTGTTTCCTACCGGGGACCCCACAAATCTCTCCAAAAGACTCCGTTTCTGAGCCGACAAGAAGTCAAGCGTTTGAAGAAGAAGCACCGACCACAAGCCAACGCCGACTCCCACCAAGATAAACATCATCCACTTTAACCAGCGACGCTCCTTCTCTAGATGCAACTTTCGGGCCTTATACGTTAAGGACTGGGCCTCACTGTAATCGATACTCTCATATTTATCCATACGCCGCCGCTCTTCTGCTGAAAACACGTGCGGGCGCGCCGACTTCTCAAATAAAGGGGTTCGAAGGCGAAAAAAAGCGGCGTCGCCCTCCTCCTCAGCCTCCTGTGCCAACTCCTGAAACCATGCACTCGTCCCACGATCCCTCTGAATGCCGCGCAGGGATTGAAGAATGTTTCCGCGACCTCGGAAGGAATTGACTAAACTCCCCACCGTGCTGCGGTGTCCCGTGGACTCAAACGACATCTAATAACTTCCTTAATAAATAAAAAAAAAAACGGACAAAACCAAACCAAATATGAGCAGCGCATCTTTAAGTGCGGAGCCAGGCAAAAAATGAAAAAAACGGGGGAAAAACTCTTTCAAGAGCAGCAACGCCTATCAGGCCTCAACGACTGTGTGTATGGCAATAACATCACAAGGATGGGGAAGAAAAAATAATAAACACATGCGCACGGATACAAGCACCTCCTCTACTGTGAGTGTGCTGGACCCAAAGAACATCTTGCCCATCGCTGCTGCGAAACACTCGCACCCAATAAAAGTGGCATTCCTCCTTTCCCCTCCCCCCCAGAAATGAAGAAATTTTAAAGACAAATATTTATATAATGATATAAATTTAAATTAAAAAATAAAAAATAAATTTAAAAAAAAAAACAATTTCGCTTCTAAAACAACATCAGAAGAGAGGCATCTATTTTTTTTTTTTTTTTTCGCTCTTCGTTTTGTTTTTTTTTTTTTTTTTTTGTTTTTTTATTTCAAAATCGTTCTGGCCCTCTCTTGTATTATGGCCTCATCTCTACAGAAACTCGTGTGCTCGCCTCACGTGCCAGAAGGGCCTTGTGAAGGGCCACGCCGTACATCGATGGGAAGTGGTGCAGCAAAGCCTCCTTTCCAAAAAACAATTGCTCTCGCCACGGAACATTGGCAGGAACGTCCAGCACATCGGTGCCTTCCTCCGTTAGATGCAACATGCGACCAGGGATCGAAAGTTGCGGCAACTGCGGCTGTTGCGCTCCATTCCCTTCTTTCTTTGTTTTCGATGAACCGACAGAGGACGATGGAAAGAAAAGGTCACGCACAGAATTTGTCTGTAGCCGCGCCACCCCATCCAGACCGTACACCCATGACGTCATCGCCTCCTCGCCCAGCAGCTCATTGACTTTTGTCACCACCGCCTGCTCGACGCAAGGGGCAGGGGCAAAGGCGATTGTACGTAAATCCGCCCCCTGTCGTGTTGTTGGAGAAAAGAAAAGCAGATGGAAAAGAATCGCCTCAATGGCACCAAGAGAGTGTCCCACGCTCAGCAGCGCGTAGTCAGGGTACTTCTCCCGGATAACGCTGAGCGCACTCATGATATGTCCTCCCGCCTCCATGACATTCATGTAGAAACCACGCGGTACGTTTGTGCGCAACTCCTCCGTCCCACCCGTCACAGCGCTGCGGTACGTACCCAAGCAGACGTTGGTGTAACCGCCAGCCACATCGGTAATAATATCCGTCAGTGAGACTGTTCCACGGAATGCGACCACCACTCTTCGCGTGCGATGGTCAAGAAAGATAGAAAAACACGGCTTCTGGAGAGCGGCGGAATAGCGAGCGTACGCCACCTCAAGCAACGGATCGCATTTATCGCCAAAAAGAATACGGCGAATAGAAGAAACCTGATCTGCCGTCGACGCAATCGTGTATCGATTGTACCACGGCGTCCAAAGCCAGAGGGAGCGAGCGGGGGTGTTAAAGTATCCCAGCTCGTACGGCAGGGCGTAGACGGCTAAAGCAAAGCGCAGTGCATACACGGCAAGTTGCACATCGTCAAGTGAGACGTGTTGCCGCTGAATTACAGCGCTTTGGGTGTGCGTTGTTTCATGAGAAACATGTTCCTTTTCCAAAATTACATGATCACACCATTCCCTGTACGACTCTAGGCTGCGACCACTTGATTTCCAGGCAGTGGGCATTCGCTTAACGAGATCGGTGTAGGTCGTCCCTGTGGCCCTGACATGCGAGTGAATTTCCCCAAAAACACGACGCACGCCTTCGCCGTGGCCCAAACCCGGTGTGACGGAAACACAACCGCCGTTCTTAAAGCCGAAGAAAAGAGACGCTGGGCCGCACTCAACACCTCGCTGTTTGCCTCCACACAACTCGCACTGGTAGACTTCTCCCACGCTGCGGACAAAGACCGGACCATCACAAATACACCACAACGGAGTGTGGTCACGCGACACGGGAGACTGCCAGAGCCACGCCCACCGGAACGCCCTACGCCTTCGAGAGGATGATTTAAACAGAAGCCGCCACACGTTTCCTCCACTCATGTATCCATCTAGATGCATGCATCTCACCGCATACCCAAGAAAGCAAAAGATAAAACAAAAAAGGAAATCCCAATCCCAAGCCACACAAAAGTATCACGGCATGCAACCACTCACAGAAGTTTTTATGCGTGCGGCATTTGAAACAGAGATCGAGAGACAACTACACTCCACTGCGGCAATAATCACAAGAATTTCAAAAAGCAAATTCCTGCCGAATCAATTTTTTTTTCCTTTGGTATGCACAAAAGTTTATTTAAAAAAAAAAAAAAGGGTAAACAGAAGTAAAACTGTACAGGTCTGGGGCGAGACGGAAAGGGGAAAAAAAATGTGTACCCGATTGTAGAGGGCGGGTATATAAATGGGAGAAAGAGGTGGCACCACAGAGGACGCGGGAAGAAGTCCGGGGCAACTTACCCCATCCAGACGAAAATGTGCACACACGCCCATTGGATCTGTCGTTCTTCCTTCGTGTCCCTTCAAGCCACCAAAATGGCGATGTCACTCGGGATCATCATCGTCTTCGCCTTTTATTAGATATACCCCGCGCCTCTATATATGGCCATTTCTCTAATAGACGCCACTGGTAGGCGCCAAGCAGATCTTCAACGTGTCGTCCGACGCCAGTCGATCCCTCTGCATCAACTCTCGACGCGGCAACAAGGGGTAAATGCCCCACCCTTTACCAGCAAATGACGCCGTCCACCCGGAAACCTCCCACTCCGCCCAACACACCGCTGAAAAAACGGAAACACGGAAGTCCAGACGCTGTGTGTGGCCGACAGGATACAAAAAAAGCCCAACAGACTCATCCTCGCCAGAATGCTCGGTTTGACTGGCATTTGTGCCATCCCTCGCCTTCGCATCTGGAGCCTGGATTCGAAGATCCCACTGAAAACCCATCAAATTAAATGTTCCAGAGCATACCGCTCGACGTTGGCCATGATGAAAGTAATTACTTGCGTTGCGCAAACACCAAACAAACCCTTTACAAACATCTGAGAAACGCCGCAAAAATAACTGCTGTCGTGATGTGCTCTGTGCATCCAAAAAGGGATCATCGTGCGGTAATTCATTCATTTTCCCATCGGCCCGTGGCAACAATAATGACCGCGGAGGCGTTGCGGTAGCACTTTGCCCGAAAATACCGCCTGTTAATTTCTTTTCGGAGGACACAGGATGCGTCGCTGGACTTTTAACAGGTGACACAGCCGCTACCGAAGATTTCTTGGAAGGATCCGCACGCTTTTCAGAAAGAAGCTGTTCGACGCTCCGGCGCACGGTTGAGAGATCAACATGGAAAAGAGTGGCCTCATTTGACGAAAGTATTTTAGATGCATTGGCCGCCTTTATCAACCCCTCGTCATGGCGCTTCCCTGCCAAAGAAAGTCCCTCCTTCAATAGCTTGGACGTCTCTATCAAGTAAGTGACACTAACCATCGCAGCAGGCACATCCCCTTCGGCATCCACAAAAGAAAAGCACTGTCCGCCTGCTCGCTCCCACGAATGCTCCAACGATTGGATGGTCCTCGTGTACTGCTGCACCACGTGCCCCACCTCTTTCAGAGGCTCATCTAGACAGCGGGTATGCTCGTGCAGAAGTGCCAGCCATTCCCGTCGTTTGTTCTCAATAAGGCGCCGCAGGTCAGAAAAGGCTTTTTCCACCGCAGACGTTGCCGCTTTATGCCTCTCCAGCAGTTCCGTCCGCTGCGACCTAAGCTGAGACTCAACGCGCTGGTAATTTTCAAGCTGCACGGAAAGTCGATGGCAAAGCCCCCGCACTCTTCCTCGCACGTCACCCACAACGTCTTCTACACCTGCCACCTCATGGCCCCGGTGGTCACCAACGGAGGCGCAGTACGGACAAATGACGTGACCACACGTCGAGCACCAGAGCCCCAAGAGTACGCCGCTGTGCACAGCACAATGGACATTGGTAGAGAACAACTGAGACCGCGTTCGCCCCCCATTCACCAGCGGCGGTGCCGAACCGGTCCTTTTCGGATAGGAATGCACAGGTGATGTAATTCCAGTACTTACACACGGATGACTGCCAACGCTCCCCGCCCGACGACTTGCGCTTGGTGCCGGCGAGACACCGGCGCCAGTGTGAATGCCACAAAAAACTTTTTCCCGGCGATCACGTTTTTTCGCAACCAGCGTCAACACGTAGCGCGGCAAGGCCTGAAAGTTTTTTCCCACGCAAACTGTCTTCACAATGCCCCCGTCCTCCCTCTCCATACGGTAGCACACGCTATCGTAGCCGGATGGCGGTGCCTCAATTCCCTTCGAAATTGGAACATCAGAAAACCACACGCGGCCCAACGCGACTTCGCACAAGAGAACTTTGTGCGGCTCAGAAGGAAAAACTTCCTTGTCGTCCTGGTCCTTCATGGAGGAGGAAAAGACAAACAGAGGCGGCAGCCGTGCATCCGCAGTGGTTGGCGAGGCGGAGTTCAGTGGTGCCGGGCTCAAACCGCTCTCTCCTCCCCGTTCAAACCCGCGCTGCAGCACCTCGCTGCTACCAAGGGAATTGTTTGTGTAGTAGAGGAGCTCAACGTGGTCGGGATCACCACCCATCCGTGCACACCGTAAATCGTCAAACAAACGTTCATTCCTCGGGTCGGTCACGCGTAAGGCACTCTGAAGACAAAACATAACGTACTTATTCCCTGCCCAACACTGCAGATGATTCTTGAGCTCCGCGTATTCCTCGACATCCGAATCCGGGTCCACAGGGTCTAGCCGCGTCGGCCTCGTCTCCACCCACAAATGTGCCAACACGGCAACGTCCGCATTTACATCGTGGGCAGCATCGCCGTTAATATGCCGTTGCAGAAGAGTCTGCAATGATGTCAGCAGTTCGTACCGCTTGTGCTCAAAGTTCCAGTACAAAATAACCCTTGGGGGCCGATGCAGTACTTTTTT